GGAAACGATCACTAAGGAAGGATTTATTCAACCCCTAAAGAACGAAAAGAAAATGTAAACATTTACGGGCAGCAACATTTAACTGTAGTGTTACGTACGGAGATGAAAACAGAGAGTCATGGGCACACACGTATTAATTAGGCACATTTTTTATTTTCATTCAATACCCTAACTGATACAGCTACATTCGGACAGCCCGTAATATATAATATTAACTATTTGTTTTGTATTTTGTTTGACTCTCCGAAATCATAATAATTACACACTAGAAATACAAATATTTTAAGGTTTTATAAAAAAAATGCATAAATGTATATACTTATAGGGTAAAGCCATCCCACCTATTCACCTATTGTCATTAATTTTATTTTTTCTATAAATCGAGTAATTTTGAGGTTTAATAAGCAATACGGTTATTGTTGTATTCGTCTACATTAATTAATATGCTGGGTCATATCAATTGTTAAAAAAAATATGGGCATACATCGAACAATGGCCACTGTTGTAGATGAGAAGTTGGAAAGGTAGAGGGGAAAATTAATGTATATCTGTACGTAACGATTACCGCCATCGCTAACGAAAAACGATTCCAAGCGGAGTTCGGTTAATAGTGTTGCTTCGTCAATAATAAATTATAATAAGTCATATTATGGTAAAATAATTACGTATTATTATATTGTATATATTTTCCCGTTTTTTCTACGTTTTTCCTATTTATTATGAAAATAGCTGTGAAAATCAAAAGAGGTTATTACTTAAAATATCATCTCAGGAAAAATTCCTTTCAGAAAAAGAGCTGCACTTGAAATCTCTTGGATCAGGATTTCTGGTAAATTTTTTTTTTACACACAATACAAAAAAAAAAAAAAAAAAAAAAAAAAAAAAATATTATAAACGTAGTAAAACCAAAACATAAATAGCATTGGGTGACCATAAAACGGGAAAATATAATTATATTTTTATACTAAATTTGCATTCCATATTATTTTTAAGACTGAAATACAAACTAAGTATAAGTAAACTTATAGTTTATATTTAATTTTTTTTTTTTTTTTTTTTTTTAATGCCAATAACCGCAATGAATTAAATCGAATATTCGATTGAAAAAATGGCCTTAATATTCCACCGTATTTATGCGAGTATTCACATTGAAATAGACACAAAAAAAATAAAATTGAATCAAATACGTATTTTTACAGAAGACAAAATAAAACACGATACGGTTTTTTCGTCTAATGTTATAAATTCTCGTTGCTCGCGATGCATTGATTATTATAGGCGTATGTGCGTAATATATTTTTTGCTGATGCTCGAACAGAGAGCACGTTACGTATAAACTACTGCAAAGTGTTTAATAAACGACCTGTAGATATAATCACGATCGCTCTTATATAATGTATGCGTACGTGTAATAGTATAGTAGTGCGTTTTTACGGTTTTTTTTTTTTTTTGCATCAACATTCGAAAACGTTCAGTCAATATATAGACGGCATAATTGAAAATCGGAATAGGTACCTATACCTACGTTCCTTTACCTATATATATAGTGTACGACCGGTGAAGTGGTAGTTATTTAAAATATAGCCAGTTTATAATAATATAAGAAGAGATACGCATAGAGTTGAACGGGCGAAAAAAAAAAAGTAATGCCAGAGGGGAGTTTGGAAGAATTTATTACATCCATGTGTTCCGAGCCAGATCAGAATCCATTTTTTATTTACAGTATACCCTCGAGTAAATATATACAGATATAAATAAATAAATGATAATAATAATAATAACAATAATAATAACAACGGGGAAGGTTACCTATAGCATAGAAGGTGCGATCTGGATGTGTTCCAAATTATTTTGATATTTCTATACCTATACACCTACATTTACGTCATAACGTATATACTGTTCACCTACCTACCTACTTTCGTTATGTTAAAATAATGCGTTAAATGTGTTTTAACTTATTTTATTTTAATACACATTGAACTCTACTCAGAGTCGAGTTTCCGTTTCGTAAATATATTATATAATCGTAAATACGAGCTGCTATATTATTATATTTCTCACGGTACATTATTACATCTAAGGGGGTGCGGTTTTCTTTTTTCGTAAAATGTTAAACGACACAATATTATACTGGAATAGAATTTCTTCTATGCCGGTTATCTGGTGACCTACCAAAAAACCTAAATAGATGTAGTTTTAAAATCACTAATATATAAATTATTACGCTTGTTACGATAATCCAAATAGCCAGTCATCTACTAAGCACTAGTTAATTCATTTCCATATTCACCGAGCACGTATTGTGATTTAGAAAAAAAATATTCTAATCTTCCGAATGGGAAATTATAACCAAATAAATATAATATAGATATTATTATATCTCGCCGGAATATAATATCTTGTAAAAAAATTATATTTCGAAAGAAAATAGTTGGAAAATATTGTATCTCGTCTCTTATCATTTTCCTGGCACTTAGCAACATTTTTTAAGATTAATAGGCCCACGATATCACGAACTAGAGTCCGCAGTAGGTATAAACAAAGTGATTACAGCTGAGATAAGAATACAGTGTTCCTCATTTTATGAAAAACGTAAATTGAAAAATAACGGTTTACTATCTCGTATGTAAAATCAAAGAACTGTAATAGATAAGTATCGAGACGACGTGATGATCGTCATCTGTAATTGTGGTTAACATTACTTTCTAAATATCTAATAGCTTGGCGTTATTCATAGATTTGTAAAACAGCAAATTTAGTGAGTGCAAAATAATAGTATTGCACCCCCGCAAACACTCAAGGGGGTGCAAGTACACCCGATATTACGCCCATGCGAGACCGTGAGACGTACGATGAGGTTTTAACTAATCAACGGCACCGAAACAGAAGTTCGCAGATACCGGTTGTTACATCTGCCGAAGCAGTACAAAGGCCCGTCAGTGTTAGTACTTAAGTGGCTAACCGTACCTACTCATAAAGGCACGGGCGTATAATAGTAATCATTGAATCAAAGAGACGTAAGCATGCTAATCCAACGGTAAGCCAGAGTGCTGCAGACGTTTAATATTAACGCTTATTGCCTTATTATATACGCAGTGTGTAGGCAATATACGCTTATGAGACTTTGTGACGAGAATTGAAATTCGATATGGGAAAGCAGATAGGTACACCATGCCCGTTAAAATTTTTCATTAATAATAATATTATTTTCGCGTTGTTTATATTTTCCAACTGCAGCTAATATTACGATAACATACGAAAATCCGTATTTATATTATTCAATTTCAGGCTACTTTGTCTATAAAAAATAATCTATAAAGATTATGCGACGTATAGGAACAAATGACATAGAATTTAAATTTCAGAACAATACAACCGATCCGCTATGTTAATCTTGTTATTTTTAGACAATATGCATGAAATATACTATAGGAAATTCTATACATGTTTGGCCCCGAAAAAGAAAGGGTTTCGGCATTTATTTTTTATAATAATTTTTTTTTGTTATTTTTTTTTTCTTAATTTTTTCAGACCAATTGTCAATAATATTGTAATTAAATATAATATTATAATACAATATAGTGATATAATCATAATGTAATATTGTACGTACATATACTGAAAATTAAAATATCTAAAATCACCACGATGCACTTTTTTGTTGGGCAAAATGGCAAACGTTATACGATTATTATTTAATCATTCTTAAGGAAAACAGAATATGTTGTGTATAGGTTAGTCGCGTAAAACAAAATAATTATCATTATTTATAATTTGTTTTTTATTATTATTATTATTGTAGGAACTTTTTCTAATCTTAGTAATTCATCAAGCAATAGCAATGGCATAATATAATCTAAATACACTAAATCATTTGATTGGTTCATCATGCCCTAAACTTTTATTTTATTGTTCGTGTATACCTACTATTGTTTATTATAAATATTACCTACTACACAATGTGTTTCGTGTATTTATATATAATATTCTAGATATAGTACAATGTTCTTTACAGTAGATTTCGCTCATCGTGAGCAAGTTGGGACTAGTTGTTCTATTTGCCCACATTTAACGGTTGCCCATAAAAACCGAAATAAGTGAACAAAAAAAAAAAAAACAAAAAAAGTTTTCAGTTTCGAAAGAACAATATTTTAAATTTAAGTACATGCATTCCGTAAAAGAATAATTGCTAAATAAATAAAATAATACAAAAACATAATACACACAGAATAATATTATATACTACACAAAGATTACTGCTTGGATATGAGCGGTGTAGTACTATAGGATTTAATGGTGCGTTGTGTAAGTTGATCATTGTATATCTGGTTGACAAAATGTGCGGGAGGTGATTAAACGGCCTATTTTCGTTAATCCGAAGAGTCCCGCAACGTTTCAACACATTTTTGAGCTTCTTTAGCCGTTACTAGTGGGTCAACATCTATATCGTTTTCTTCTTCATTTTCTTCAATGGATTAATGGATTTTTAATATTTTTGATATGCAAAATCTTATCGACGCAATTGATGGTGTAATACTCTAGTCTTATCTGTGTAGTATGTACCGCTATTTAAATAAATAATACAAATAATAAAACGGATACGAATTTACTATATTGTACGTATACCGATTCTTTTAAATCTGAGCGGAACGAGGAAAGTATTGGTTTTACAATGATGTTTATTTTGATTTCGTGGATAACTTTTCTACCATAAATTTTGTTCCGATTTAAAATGACAGCAATTTTCCAGAAAGGAAATCTGTCTGGAGTCTGGAGTGGTTTTTTAAAAGGACATATTTTGATGTCCCAAGGAGCTTTGCTAATAAATGGAAAAACCCGGGAAAAATTATGGGGAAATAAGGAAAAACTTAGAAAAAACGGGAATATAGGTAAAATATTTAACAAATATTATTAACGAAAATATACAATGTATATAGAATTATTTTATCACAACATGACATATTATAATATATCGTTGACAAGGGAACACTATTAACCGAACTCCGCTCAGAATCGTTTTTGTTAGCAATGGTTAATCGTTGGGTACAGTTATACCTACATTCAATCTCTCATCTACCTTCCCAACTTCTCACCTACAACAGTGTCCCACCAATCGTGCGGAGCATGTTAGTCTTTTTTTCTTACGGTGTTTCTTTTGTTGATACCTAGCCCGGCGGTGTTCGATTGTCTCCGGTAAATTGTTAAAAATTAACACAGAACAATTTTTTTTAAATTACCGACATTTTGATGTACACTTGAATTTTTATTTGGGCATGACGCAAACACAATAATATATACTGACGATAATAATATTAACAGTTATACAAAGTAGCAGTTTCAACGACATTGTAATATTGTCCAAGGGCTCTAAATCGAAGTACCTATACGGCCGCACGCGACAATAAACGAAAACGCAATAATATAAAAGGCAAATATTATAACACGCACGACGGGCTTTAAACCAAACAACATTCAAGCACTCGCGTTATAATTATTTAAACGATTCAATCTACAGAGTGCTCGTATTCACATAGTATAAACACTAGGAATAGGTACGGTACAATAAAAATAATATTGTTGTGTGTGTTATAATGTAAGCTTAGCAAATACGGAAACTGCGTTGTGATACCGGTTACCGTACAATAATAATCCTAATATTTGTCATAATAAATTTTCGCAAAACGGAATAGTAGAAATAGTAGATGTAGGTAGGTTATTATTTATTTAGTAGTTTAAAGCGATAAATTTCGGGTTTAAATACCCTGGTAATATGCGGGCTATAATAGTAGGACGACTGGAACAAGTATACAAATAATAGTATTGTGTCATTTACAATTGTGTTAATATTTTTGCATTTTCTCCTTTGATTCAGAGCGTAGTAGCGAAGAAGCTAGAAAATATATTCTATAAATTATTTTACTGAGATGTTTTTTTTTCTTAAAAAACACTTTTTTGCGGTTAAAAACATTAAAAATTGTTTATCAATGTGTATTTTCATCTGGTCTTTTAGTATTTGAACATTTTTCAAAATAACCGGACGGTATACCCGTTTTATTTTTGTCGATTTGTGGGTTACTTTATTAGCCCATGCAAAGGAAACTAAACGGCTATAATATCCTTACTAGTTTATCGAACTCCATTCAGAATCGTTTTAAATTGAAATACTTTCAACACCTATACATATAATATAAATTACCTTATTTTCTACCTTTCAAATTTTCCTTCTACAAAAATGACAAATCCACCGTGTGAATCATTTCCGGTTATTTTGTATGTACGAAACAAAAATCTGAAATTCATATATAATTAATTATTATTTGATTTACAACCACGAAACACGCGGTTAAGTAGTGTTTTGCTGATATTGCAGAGATTATCACTATAAGATGGAACCAAGAGTTTATGGCTTATGTTTAGTTTAGATTAGTTTAAGTGAAATATGGAATGGGATTAAACTTAATAAAATAACGGAGATTTCGGAATGTTTAAACACCGTCAGCTGTCATTTACGTACCACGATAAAACAACTGGCATTTGACCTTTCACTCGCAGATAACGGTGAAGAATACCTACGCTATACGCGTAGGTATGTTGGACACTAATTGGCGTAACGTTATCTGGGCCTTGGTATCACGATGGTTTGATGTTTGGCTTTTTCGTTTACATCCTGTGTAATTATCCTTCAAATTATCTTTTATAGAAAATATTATCCTTGCGTCCATTCATGCGAGATATTTTGCTATTTTGCTACCAAAAAAACGGACGCATATAAACTCCTTCTAAAGTACTTTTTTTTTAGTGTAAACTTCACCAAAAAAAACAGGTAAAATTGGATTCGTGTAAACTCCGCTACTGAAGAAAATCAATTAGCAGTATAATATTATTATTATAAAGTTAAAATAATTATTTATGTTAAATTAATAATTAATTGTATTAATAAAAAAAATGCATAGTTGTCATAATAACAATTAATAATTTTTCACATTAAATAATAGTTAGGTAAATATGTCAAAAATTAATATAAATTAAAAAGTACAGTAGGTATGCAGTTGATAAAATATAATATAAAATTCATATGTTTTATAATTATAATTAAAATCGTCCACATTAAATAAAAGTAAAAAAAAAAAATAAATAACCGTTTTGATAATCCTAAAAATATATTTAGCTAAGCTATGTTATTAAAATGATTCGTTGAAATTTGTAAATATTCTAAGTCAAATTTCAATTCACTATCGTGCTTATTGATAGCATTCTGTAACAATGTCATTTTAGATTCTGAGTGGAGCGAAGAGGCTTATGGTTTTACAAAGATGTTTATTTATTTTTTTTTTTTTCTGTAAACACATTTTGTAGCTTGGATTTCTAAGTATAAAATATTTTTTGAAAGGAAACAGGTGTGGGGAGGTACTTTAAGCAGGTCATTTTTTGATTTTCTCAGGAGTTTTCTCATCAAATTTGAAAAGCCGAAAAAAAAATACGGGAAAATATAAGAAATGTAGGTATCAGTTAAAATGTATTACGACCTTCTTTTTTTTCTTTGAACAACTTTTCTACCGGCAGTTTACCTCAAATTTATAATGCTAGCAATATTTCCAAAAGGAAATTTGACTAGGAATATACTTTGGGAGGTAATTTTTCGATTTTCTTAAGAGTAAAATTTTACATCATCAAACAAATATTATTAAAGTAAATAATATAGAAAGCCTATTTAATTATAGGGAATACGCCGATCAAATCACAATACAAACAGTACAGGAAAATGACTGTAGAATTTTTATTTTTCAGAATCGGCGGTCCCATTATTTTTAAAAAATAAATATTTATAAAAATAACATATTATTTAAATAAAAAAATAAATAACGATTTTTTATCTAATTAATTTTAAATATCAAATTCGTCAAAAAGTCGAATTAATGAAGTCAACACTATGTAATAATATAAAATAAACTACACTGAATAATAATAATAATAATAATAATGATACGGTAGGACGTTATTATTATTATTGTTATCATTGCGTACCGCGTATAGTATTGCGTTTGATGAAAGACGGAAACGACGTCGTTTTTCAACCGAACGACGACGTGACGTCACATCGGTCATCTTACGTGTCATTAGGCAAACCGTAAATTCCAGCATACGACGATAAAATAACGTCACAAAACTTGGTTATCTATATATAGCAACAGTGAGTCGTGGACGAGACCGGATTAAGGACTCTAAGGACCGTAAGCACGGTCATAATATTATTATCATATATACTTACACTAAGGGTCTAAATACACCAAACTTTTCACAAGTTCCTCTAAAAACGTTTAAAATATTATTTCTAAAACTGACGAACGTACTTTGCACGGGTTGGACCACTGTTGTAGGTGAGAATTTGAGAAAGTAGAGAAGAAATGTAATGTATATCTGTAAGCAACGAACGTTGAAAATTAAAACCAGTGACTCAGCCATCAGCTGCATCAGTCTTATTTATATTTATATTGATAGGAAATGCAGGGCCGGGAATTTTACTCGTGGTCATGACGCATAGTTCGTGATAACGACGGAAAAATGAGATAAGAGAGATCCTGTAGTTTTACAATAACGCGCGCGTATATTTTTGCGGTTTCTTTTTATCGCTTCGCTTTACGCTATTCAAAGCGTGGTAAACATACATGTATGCACTCGGAAAAGTTTTATCCGACAACTTAACAGACTGCAGGTAATTGAACACGGACGATACTTCAGAGATGTCGTTTTTTGAATTTCACATGAGATAAATACGCGAAAAAAAGTTTTCGAAAAAAACGTGAGAAGATAGACTACGTCTATTTAAGTTTAAATTCTGAGCCAGACTCAACGATAAAAACGACACACATTTAACATTTGTAGATATATTTATAATTTATATAGTATGTAGGTATGTAACAATAGTTGACTCAACGTTTACCAATTACAGTGTTCCCATAGCCCCGTGTAAATGTCTTTTCATGTTTTGCTTTTCGAGTATTGTTTTTATTTATTTATACACAGTATTTTTCTGCTATACACAGACCGAAAATCCGAAAATATTAAGCATTTCAATTCTCTCATCCTCCAGGGACTTTATTTATTATTCGTATTATCCCGTCTAAATATTCAAGTTTCTCCAGTGTACCTCAAAATTGTCCGTGTATATAATATTCAAGATTATGTCACATGAATTCTTTTCTAAAGAGTATTATAATTTGAATTATAATTACAAAAAGAAATACAACATAATAATAATAATAATAATAATAATACATTTAAATATAATTCAATCGAAGTATAAATAATAGGTACATCGTCAAACAAATAAATCCGATAATAAACGGTTCACTATTATTTTTAAATAGCCGACTACGGTCTTAAATTTTTAAGCGGGGATATTTTGAAAGAGATTATTTAAACTGAGCTATATTTCGTTGTAGGTATGTGATAGCTGGAGGAAAAACCGTTTTATCCGTATACATATGGTCGGCTCGTTGTATATAGTCGTCACCTTTTTCGGTCTCTTCCACTATATATTCTGTCCGGTCTGTTTTCAGTTCTGCAATTAAATCTCTTCCATCACATTGCCGATATTTTCATATACCGACTATAACAATATCAATATAATATACGAATTTACGGCAATTGACAGTCTGCTGCAACAGCACGTGTCCTTTATTATAATGTTCGGCGTTTCACTGGCATTCGCGAGAAAAGAAATCTTTTCGGTCGTAATTTCCGAAACGCCGAAAACTATCCTGAGAAAACGTTCTTGGGGAAAACGCATTTAAATCCCTTTGTGCACCCTGATGTCGTTTTCCCCGAGTCCCCGCTGTGCCGCGGGATATTTTGACGTTGTTTTTCTTTTTACATCAACAGCATAATATTATACTGTTTATTATTATTTCATATTTTCACCGCTCCTATACAACGGTGGGAAAAAAACTCAGAAACTAACGGAGGCAAAGTGAGTGCTAATGAGTGTTGATGAGGCTTGCGAGTGTATTGCAAATGGTGAAGCAAATATTTTGAAAATTATGGAGAAAGGGACGTGTCAATAAGCATGGATATACAAATTATACAATACACAACAATTAGAAATAGAAAATGAAATACTGATGTTAATGTGAATTATTATAATTTGTTAAATTTAGGCTGTAGCTATTGGTAAAATTATTTAACAAAAATTAAAAAT